CACTCAGAACCCCTGGGAAGGCTGCCTGGGCTGCAGCTGTGTGCTCCCTCTCCCACTCTCAGCTGATCTCGATCCTGGGCCAGGCTGCCTCACTCCCAGTTCCCCCTCCACCTCAAGAATCTAGCAGCCCCATGCCTTCCAAGGGAGAGCCTTTCAGCACCCCCAGCTGTGACTGGCCCCAGGGAGCAGAGGTCAGGCTGGAGGTTGGGGATGGGAAGCCTTGGAGAGGCCCCGGGGGACAGCGTGTTCTGGCCTGCGAGCTAGTCACGGGAGTTTCCAAAGCGGCAAGGCCATCAAAGCAGAAAAACACCTGACACCCTGGACCTGGGCTGGACCCATTGCCCCCACCCCTCTAGAGCCGCCCCCCTCCCAGGCTCCTCCCTCGTGCAGCTGCTGCAGGGGTATTTATAGCCTCGGCTAGAGGAGGCAAGGACAGGCGCTGTATTTCGGAAGCGGTAACTCCTGTTCCAGGTGGATGAATCCCGGAGAACTCAGCGTCCCCTCCCCGTTGCACTTTCACCTACAGGCACTCCAGTTTCTGCTCCCACCTAGAGATGGCCCTGCTTAGTCCTAAGTGTGTGGGCCAAAGCGTAGGCCCACTCTTCCAGCTAGTCCCCTCCCTGCGTGTTCAGACTTCGGGGTGCGCACCCCCAAGCCGCCTAGTGCCCGGCTCGCTCTCCGACCAGACGGGTGCTGAGAACTACAGCCCTTTCCCGGAGGAGGGAGCGCGGAGCGGCGCTGACCTCTAGTGGCCCGAGCTGGTAATGCAGGGCGACGGCCGCGCTCCAGCCGCGGGTCCCGGGCCGGCCGGGGCGGATCGCCTGCGTTCTTGTCCCTTTCTTCCCCTCCCCATTCGCTCCGCCGGCCGGGAAAGAAGCCCAGGAGCGGGCTTCCCGGCGCCTCTTTGCTCCATCGCTGGGACGCGAGGATTGCGCCTGGCAACCCCGGCGTCTGCGGATAGCGGCCTTCCCGCCAGACGAGGCACCACAGGGAGGGGGACGGAGTTTTCTCTTCGCACTCGGCACATCCTGTCCACACTCCCGTCACCGTCCTCACAGGGCAGGCCCGTAATTGATGTCTCTTCCAGTTACCCGTTCGTCAAATATTCGAAGCGCTGCCTGCAAGGCCAGAGAGAGGAGGACACGACCGGGGCGTCCAGACCGTCCAGGGGCTGGCGGTGTACGCGGCAAGGAACACCGGGCTGTGCACGCGCAGAGGAGACCAACCGATCCGGAGAGGGGATGGGGGTCGGGGAAACCCCGGGGGAGGCGAGGATTTGAAGACAAGACGTCAGCTCGGCAGAGGAGCCCGCCGGGCAAAGGCACGAACACAAGCTAATGCCTTGCACCTGAAAACCTGGCTGCCGGCTGGAGGGTGGGCCGAGGTCCCGCCCCCGACTCTACGATAGGCCAATCGGGGGCTGACGTTTGGCTGCTGGGCGTCCTGATTGGGTTCCTAGATGTCTCCAGGGAGGGGACACCTAAGCCGAGCCGCCCTCTCCGAGCAGACTCGGCGCTCCGGGTGGTCAGGGCAGGGTCCGGTGCGCTCTCCTTAGGGCTTCTCCAGGCCCCGGTACTTCTTGCGCAGCACCGACACCGGGTCCTTAAAGAGCACTGGGTCCAGACGGAGGCGAGAGGACACCAGGGGCATGTGGCCGAACTCCGCCGCCACCCGGTCGATGCAGTCCTGGGCTGCGGGCTCCAGGTCCCCAGGCACCTAAGATGGGAGGAGAAATGCGTCGGAGTTTCCTGTCCCGGACCCAGCCTCTCCCCCGCACCGCGCAGCAGAAAGAGTTCGTGTTGGCCGGTGAGAGGCAGCCCTCCCTCCCGTCTCCCCCCGGTGCCGACCGGTCCCCTCCATCCTCACCCGCGGTGAGCTGGCGTCCTCGTGCTGCCTCCCAGAGGGCACCTTGATGGGGGGCAGCTTGGTGGCTGCTGCTACCAGGAAGTTCATCAGGACGTCCACACAGGGGGGTGCGGCCTCCGCCAGGCGCCTCAGAGCCTTGGGCAGGGAGTGGGTGAAGAGGGTGTGGTAGTACCTGGGCGCGGGGGGGAGGCAGGGAGAGGCTGGAGCCGAGGCCACCGCCCCAATTCTGTTTTCCCCGTCCTGACGTCACTCTCCCTTTGACCCCAGTCTCCCAGCCTCCGGCTAAACGCCCCCCCTCCCCCTTCCCTGAGCCCTGGCCCCTGCAGAGGGCCCCGCCCCAAGTACCAGCCGCTCTCCACTGTTCTGTGCTCTGTGGCTGGTCTGCAGCCAGTGGTGTATGTAGTTCCTGCCCCTCCCTCCCAGCTCCCTGGGCCCCCACCCCAGGAATGAACTCAGCCAAATTGGGGGGGTCAGCTAATTCCAAGGACATCAAACATGGCAGCCCAAAGCCAGCTTCTGGAAGGATGTGGAAGCTGAGGCGGCTCCAGATGAGCCCTCCCAGGCTCCCAGACCTACCGGCCCTACAGATATTAGGGGTATGCTTCACTTCCTGCAAGACGGTCCATGTTTGGTTTAAACACGTGTAAGGAACTCCTCTAAAGAAGCC